ACCGAACATTTCTCAATATTAGCTCCACCTACTGACACACCTCCACGCATGGTGACACAAGCACAGGGCTCCTACCCTCTTTCTGCTCATGTGAACAGTAATAGAGGTTCCGGTTCCTGCATTTGAGGGAGTTGGACTAGTCGGCCCTTGGGGTCCCTTCCAACTCTACCATTCTATGAGGCTTTGACAAAGCTTTTTGTATTTCAGCAGATCCAGGCAAAGTGCTGTTAGAAAGCAGGGTGTGTGCTTAATGAAGGGCTGTGTTTTGGGACTGGATTTAATTCCTCTGGACCTGTGCCTGGAGTAACCAAGAGAGGCAAATCAGTTTGCCAGATTTCCCAAGCACATCATAGGGGTAGCTGCACATTACATTCAATGAGTGTACAGTCTATGTACCTGTTCAACAAATATTTGAATTGTTTATTCCTACACATGTAACATTAAGTGTATGGGCATTCTGTGTGTTACACAATAGATGAACTGTACAAATAAACAAGAATACACATTTGTACATGTGTAGAGAGGCAGCTTGTACCTGTGCACGGTATATAATGTGTGAACAACTCATTGCATTTAAATACCAGGAAAGATAAGTGAAATGTAGACATTTAAGTGGTGTTCACATGTTACATTCAACAAATGTACAGTTTGTGGACCTGCGCTCAGAATAGTTGAACTGTACAAATCAACAAGCAATCATTCTTTCATATAAACCTGTGTAATCTTAGCTTGCACCTACACCCAGTGTAATATATTTGACTGATTTAACAAAATTTATATACCACTTGATTGCGGTAAAGCCACTAAGCACCTGGAAATAAATATTAAAATTATTACAAATCAGTTCAAATCAATTAAAAACAGTTCAAAATAATTAAAATTAATGGAAAAAGAGATTAAAGCACACCAACATCTATATGTCCGTATAGGCTTGCCTAAACAAATGTGTGATGTATGAACAAGCCTGTCATAGCCATATCAAAGTATGGTATTCTGCATAAGCAGTACTTTTCAGGGATTGGAAACAAAAATTAGAATCATAGAATTGGAGGGAATCCTGAGGGTCATCTAGTCCAACCCCCTGCAATGCAGGAATCCTGCCCACAGCCATTCCTAGGCAGGCTCAAATCACCAGCCTCCGGTTTAGCTACACAACCTCCAGATTTCAAAAGGAGGTTATAGAAGAAGTAGTGAAGCTGCTGAAGAAAGCATATAGCGTTCTGCTAGAATGGGAAACAAAAGATGAGGAGGTCAAAGCAGTTCTGATCAAATGGGCACAAGATATAGGGCACAATATACAATTTGAGGATTGGGAAAAGCTGTAGAAGGTGGACTTGAAATGTACAGATTGTTCTCTTTTGAAATAAAATTACATTAAAATGATGTATAGATGGTATATTACACCAGTACAAATGGCAAAAATGTACAAAACTGGGTCAAATATATGTTGGAAATGTAAAGAAAAAGAAGGTAACTTGTATCATATGTGGTGGGAATGTAGAGAAGTTAAAAAAAATTGGGAGATGATATATAATGAATTGAAAAAAATGTTTAAAATGACATTTGTAAAGAAGCCAGAAGTGGTTTTTTTTAGGGATTTTAGGACGAGACCTGCCAAGAAAAACAAAGAATGATTGATAATTGTTTTGTTAAAATGGTTTAATAAAAATATATTTTTTTAAAAAAAATAAATCACCAGCCTCCTGGTTACCAGCCAGATGCAGTGACCCTTTATGCCACAATGCCCCCTGCGTGTGTGTATGCACTCGTGCATGTGGACAAATATGAATTATATAATTGCAAGGGTAAAACAACTCATCCTGAACTTGTTTGAGGGTATTGTTCCATTGTAACTCTAGCAGCAAATCCATATTGTCTCCTCCACCCACCCAAAATCCCATATGAGTTTTTAGTAGTAAATCCTTGTGGCTTTAGGATTGTGATTTTAATTATCTCAGTAGTGTCTTCAGTATACATGTGACTTTACTGAGTAGCAATGCAAACACATCAGCTCCCTGCCCCAAGTAGATTCCAATTTGATTTCGCTAGAAAATATGGGCGGGGGGGGGGGAGGAGGAGGATCAAGTGAATCATAGAATCATAAAGTTGGAAGGGAAGAGAAGAAAAGAAAAGACAGATAAGGCACAGGTAACAAAGATAGAGGGGAACAACTGCAGTGGCTTTGCTCCATCTATTTTCAAACTTCATTATCCCCACTCTTCTCAAAGACACACAAATGTACATGTACAGTTGAGTTTATTCTCTTTCTTTCTTTTTCTGCAGTGCAAAGATGTTGCTTCCTAAGAGAGGAAGGCAGAGCAGGAGTCATATGTGTTAACAAAAAGCCAGGAGGCAAGGTGAATGGGGAAAACACTTGGATTTCTGCTTTAAAGATGGAACTCAGGTGCTGAAACAAAGCATGAAGACTTACAGCAGGCTCAGTAGCATCAGCAGCCACCGCAACTGAATGTTGCCCCCTTCATGTTCAATGCACATCAGTTTCCTGCCCATGGCAAAATGGTAACAAAGCAGGCCTGGTTGATTGCTGACACCATGATGTCATTATTGGAAATCCTAGCTTCAGGGACAGCATTTCCATGGGATGACATCATTCAAGATGGCAACTTACTGGCTTAAAGATAAGTGGCAGAGTACCCCTGCAACTTAAGAGTACATGGAAATGTTGCCTGAGAGGGATAAGAAGCAACATGGGATTTAACCTTTGCACACAATGAGCAGAAATCTATTTGTGCATCCACCTTGACAAACAAAAAAGGTAGCAGCTGTAGACACGGATATCCAGAATCTCCACCTTTAGAAAGGACTGGTACCATACAATCAAGGCTTTTAAAGATGCTTATTTAGATATACATACTAGGAAAAAACCTTTCATTTGCCTCTCAGATATACCGTGGAGAGTGGTGATCTTTTTTTAAAAAAAGGATGACTCCTCACTTTATCACAAAATACGACTCTCTGCAGGAATCTCCAAACTCGCCATGGAACGCTGTGAGAAATATTAGACATGCCAGACTCTGCTGCATCACCATGCCTGAATTCCCTCTTTTAGTCCATCTCTCTATCCATTCCTGCCTCCTTTTAACAGGCATAGCACTGCAAACATGCCTCCTCCTCCCCCTTTCATACTCCAACTGCCCCCTTTGACAGATCCACACCCACATCTGCTACACCTCTCTCACTTCAGCAGACACACCTTCCCCCTGGGGCATCTCCATGTAGCTTCCCTTCTGAGCTGCCACAGATGCACCTTACAGAGACACTGAACACAGTCGCCCCAAACAAAGGGACACACCCTGCAGTCACACTGATGCACATGGATGGCAAATCCTGTGGTTTTCACCCCCTCCAACCTTGTTCCCCCCACCCCACATGAAAAAACGTTTTGTAAAGCCACAGGTACTGGAAGCATGAGAAAGCTCAACTTGTATTATAAAACATTTTTTTAAAAAATTGTTGCAGTAATGAGGAGCAATAAAAAAGCATCCTTTAGCACAAATGATAAACTAAAGATCACATCAGCATTGTGCTTTATTAAATCATCTTAAATGATCTTACAAGTTTTAAGGCAATCTACTTTGGGTTTTTTGCATGACTCACAATGTGAGGTTTGGGCATTTGGAGTTGGTGACTTTGCATGCTGCAGACACTGAGTCACATTTACAGACCGGCGACTCCGCACAACTATGCCTGTATGCTCCGCACAACTATGTATGGCTACATAAATGCATGCATATACCTTGCAGAACATAGTGCAAATTGTTCACACGCACCCTACCAAGACACAGCTTCACCCAGACACACCCATGTGGAATAGTACTTTCCACAAATCCTCCAACCACATGGATACACATTCTTATTCACACTCGCTCCTACAGAAATCCTGGGCACACCCCCTTTAATACAAAGCAGAAGCACTGATGCATTGGGTACAAGGCGGCACAGAGAGTGATATTGCAGACATGGTCCTGAGGGAATACTCAGAACAGCCTTCTCCTTTCCACTCCAAATCAACACACAGACAGACATAATCCCAAATGGCATAACACAAACACCATGCTTTCTAGTAATATTTCCAGCCCAAGAACATGCATCCTGCAAATATACTGGCTATGACTACTTATGTGCACACATGCTCTAAACACATACATGGTCCTTAATGCCCCTCCATACGATGGTAGTTGCCCTGTACACATACCACCCTCAGGCAACCTCACTAATGACCCACAGAAGGACATCCCTATGGACAGACTGAACATAATACCCAAAAGCCACAAACAGACAAAACCAACATACAAATTGTTATGCACATATTTGAATACCTGGCACCTTTCCCCCTCCTTCCCCAAATGAACTCGACTTCAAATGCATATACATGCAAGCACACCCAAGCACAGACATAGTACAGAAACACGCCCACAATTTGTACAGAAATCATGCAAATACACTGTGCATTGAGGACCCCCCTGCCCAGAACATCATTTAAATGATGGGGAGAAAAGTCCTTATTAAACAACCAGTGGAGAACTTCCTGCTCCTTTTAATAGGCACTGTTTTTTTCTCAGTCCCTGTAGGAACTGAGCACATGATTTGCATGTGTGTCCAGTCTTCTGTGAAGTGGTCTCAGGAAGGGGGGCTGAAGGGGACATCCACCTGAGACCATGAAAAGCTACCACCCATCAGATATTGGGCCAGATGGATCAACAGTCCGGAATAAAGGCAGCTTCATAGGATCCATACCCAAGGTTCTGGATGAATTCTATTGTCATTCATGAAAAAGAACCCAAGGATGAAATGCTGCTTCATTAACAATCCTGTGAACCAGGCCCTTGCCATTCATATACTGGATCATGACCCATGCTCCTCTAATGAGGGCTGAAGTAGTGGGACTCCTATGCGTTGCTTTCTAAGCTGATCATGCCTCTTCCACACACCCATGCCCTCCCTGCACCAGCAAGCAAGCATTGTTTCCTACTAATTACCTTCTTCCAGCTCATCCATGCTCCCAATCTTTCTGGTGCCATCGATGGTGTAAATGTAGCGAACTCCCTGAGGCAGGTTAATGTTATCAGACAGAGACCGAGTCAGGTCAGCAAGCAAGGCGTCAAAGCTTCGGAAGCGGTCTCCGGAAACAGCGTACACAATCCCCTTGAAGTAGCGGTCCCCGTTGCGGTAGAAGCGCACCTTCTTGGCTTTCTTCTCATTGCTCAGCGCTTGCAAGGTCCTGGTCCGGTAGAAGCTACAGTGGGCACTGTGAGTGGGGCTAGGCAGGCCATTCATACGGGAGCCTCGCATGTTTCTGGACGCCTTATCTCTTTCGTCAAAGTGTCCAAAATCAAGTTCCATAGCTCGGTGAGCCCTAGAGGTGTGAAGCTGAGGCAGAGGAGGAACAGGAAAAGGGAAAGATGCAAAGGGAGGAATTAAGTGAGTCAACCCAATAACTGGCAATTGGTGGTCCTGGATGTGGAAAGAAACCCACACTTTTGCTCTTATGTTTTACTTCCCCTGGAGTAACACCATAGAAGGTTTCTTCCTTGTATGTGGGGGTGTGGTTCAAGTGCCGGGAAGGGTGGGTGTACTCTAGGCAATACAATGGAGCAGACTTAGTAATAGGCAACCAATTGCATGGAGTTGGCCCCAGGGATTCTAAGGATCCCTTGCTATATCTGGCTTAGTAGGTGAGACTGGGACAGAAATGTCCAGGGTTGCCATTTCAGAATGCAAGCCATCCACAAACTACTAAAGACCAGTGAACAGAAGTTCACTGCAGTGTAGTTGGGGCTGCAGACTGAAGGCAGAAAAAAAGAACTTCGGCTGGTAGGTGAATACAAGAAAGTGACAGACTAAGCAACCCTGAGGGATTAAGCATCCCAAAGACTGAACCACCAGCTTCACTTGCATGGTTTTCAACATGCCCATTCACCGATGGGGCGACAAGCTGAATCACAGGGCTATGTCAAATGGGGGACTATAAATTGAAATGGCTGATAGACCAGGAAGACATCTAGCTAGGATCCAGACTTCTTTGTGACCAGTCCTTCATAGACCTCCTCTGATCTAGCTATCAGTTTCAGATATTAGAATCTGGGAGGCAGTGGGTGGGAATCCCTGACATTCAAATGGCATTGGAATAAGTTTATGTTAAATTGCAAGATTTCCCCCTGCACAGTTAATCTGCTGCATCATCTAATCAGGGGTTTTTTATCCCCTCCCCCACACGCCTTCCCTCTTAATGAAGCATTTTTTAATTGCTGAAGGTATGTGCATCACACCACTACAAGCGCACCTTTCATTGTTCAGAGGCTGCGGCGTAGTACTACTATAGGAAGAGGGAGCGGACAAGAGAGTCAATTGAATTTCTGCAGCGGAGCGGAGAGGGGGGCGGGCGGAGGAATGACAGAAATAATCTCGAGCATGAACTAAGACACAAGAGAGTGTATCCTCTTGCAATGGAAAACTCCAAACCAGAAAGAAAGCTCTGGGTGACTGGAAACCTTATACCGCTACCATTTGGCTATGCAGGGCTATTAACATGCAGCTCACATCTTCTCATCACAGATTCACACAACAGAAATGGGATTAAAGCCCTAGACTCAGCAATCAGGTACAAATCCTGGAAAAAGCTGTTGCTTTCTTTCTGCCTCTCATCCGGCTAGCCAAGCCCTGTCCCTTCATTCATTCTCTTCAGTGCCAGTGACCTGTCTCTGACCCTATTGTCACTGTTGGGTAGCAAAAGGAGTTTCCATTCCCACTAGCCTATCTTCCTTTCTCCAAGTTTAAGAAAATGCTTCCCCCTGCCAGCACTTAAAGACGCTCACAGGTCTAGGAACGATGTTCTGAAAACAATGCAATCTCAGCACAACTTTTGCAGTCAAGAGATTTTTGTTGGGAGGCATTGTTCACTTGCAATGCGAGGTCTTTCTTTCCCCCTCTCTTGTGCATCTGGCATCTGTTACTTTCTGCCTGGGAAAGCGTAAGCTCTACTCACCGGTTTTTCAGCTCGCAGGGTGGAGATGCTAAGAGAGAGAAACCCAGCCACACTCTGTCTTTGTTGTCTGAGCTCCAAGCAAGAAATTCCTGCCAGTTTGGCTAGGACTCCTCCTAGGTCCTAGTGCCTTGAGTCACACACACACACATACACACACACCCCTTCTGCAAAGTATTTTTGTGTCAGTGGGCTTGCTGCTCATGATGGATTGACTCTCTAAAATTCTCCCTCTCCAAACTTAACAGAGGAAAGTGAGCATGATTCCAGATTTCATTTTCTTAAGCAGATGAAGAGGGCTGAGTGAGCTACATCTTGACTGCATTGTTCACTATGTTCCAAGGCAAACCTCCCATTGTCTCTACTTGTCCTAATGACCTTCCAGACCCAGCTGGAATCAGCCAACATTTGATTTATGCCACAGTGCTACGAATCTGCAGATGCAATGAAGGTGTTAAGTCTTGTAAGCTGAATTTCTGATTCCTGTTGAAAATCACACTTAAGCTGATGCTTCCCGGCCACACTCATGAACAGAATCTGCCCACAAGGCTGGGAACAAGGAGGCACTTTGTTGGAATGATTTTTAAAGACCACAACTTCATCCATTATAAACAATAGATCTGCAATGGGATGGCCTCCCCTGATTAAAAGCAGCCCCAAGCTCACAGTACGGGTAACTATTTAGGTTGCAAAGGCATGCCTTAGGCACCTGCCAACAGCAGCACCTTTTAGAGCAGGCGTAGCAGCCAATAGGGTGCCCAATGTGGTGATATTAGACTGCGACTCCCATCAGCTTTAGCCAGCATAGCCAATAGTCAGGAATGATGGGTGTGGGAGTCCACAACTTCTGAAGGGTACCAATATTGACGACCCCTGTTTTAGGACAACCCATCCCTGTTTCTGAGTTCAATCCCTTACTATCAGCTCCTCTAAGCCACACCTCCTTGAGATAAGCTTGCCCTCCTTACTTACTTCCACTTAGACCAGAGGTCAGCAAACTTTTTCAGCAGGGGGCCAGTCCACTATCCCTCAGACCATGTGGGGGGCCAGACTATATTTTGAAGGGGGGAGAATGAATGAATTCCTATACCCCACAAATAACCCAGAGATGCATTTTAAATAAAATCACACATTCTACTCATGTAAAAACATGCTGATTCCTGGACCGTCTGCAGACCAGATTTAGAAGGTGATTAGGCCAGATCTGGACCCCGAGCCTTAGTTTGCCTACTCATGACTTAGACCCTGTGGCATTGCATGGTTGCTAAGGTAAGTCCTTCATTCACTGCTTCCACCTGCCCCGCTCCAGGCCTCCATGTCCAGGAGTCCTTTTTACCAGCATTGAGTTCCAAGGACAGGGCCTTCTCTGTGGTAGCCTCTGTATCTCTGGAATGGCCTCTTCAGGGAAATTCACATGTTAAGCTTTGGGGAAACATTCAAGAAGACCTGGATTCAGCCAGATTTATGCTTGTTTTGTTTAATAACCGCTTTAGTTCCTCCTGTTATTTTATTGTTTTTGATGTTTAGTTTTTTACTGCCATCCTAAATTTTAATGTTGCACTGTAGCCTCAGCCTCAACCAGCACCACCATGCTGGCTGGAGCTGATGGGGGATGTAGTCCAAAACATCTGAAGGGCAACAGGTTGGGGCAGCTGCTATACTGATTTCTTGAAGTCTGCTTTGAGTATATACCTTAAAACATGGGCTAGAATAATAGATTCATAAAATTGTAGAGTTGTAAGGGCCCTTACAGGTCATCTAGTCCAGGGGTCAGCAAACTTTTTCAGCAGGGGACTGGTCCACTGTCCCTCAGACCTTGTGGGGGGCTGGACTATATTTGGGGGGGGGGAAGAATGGATGAATTCCTATGCCCCACAAATAACCCAGAGATGCATTTTAAATAAAAGCACACATTCTACTCATGTAAAAACACGCTGATTCCCGGACCATCTGGATTTAGAAGGTGATTGGGCTGGATCCGGCCCCCCGGGCCTTAGTTTGCCTACTCATCATCTGGTCCAACAGCCTGCAATACAGGAATAATAAAATAATAATAAGAACAACCAAATTCCTTACTTTTACATCATGTTTTGCATGATCTGGCAAATCCACTTGTGACCTACTAATTGCACTGAATTAATTGCATATCTCTGAAGAAATAAACCTGTACCCCATACACTGTCTGTTGCAGGCAGAAAAACCACAAGTGTCTTGCCCAACGGTGTGCTGAAGTGGGAGGGAAATGGTTACTCAGTCCCAACAGCTGTTCAGGAACCCCCATACCATGTCTTTGTTTGGGTACATGGGAGCGAATAGGAATTGCAAATGCATCTGGGGAAAAGAGGCTGGGCTATTCTATGGGCAGTCCAATGTACTTTCAATTGGCTCCAGCCTTCATTGTGGACCCACCTCCAGTGGTGGACCTTGAGGTCTCAATTTCAACAGTGCCCTATGCGGTGCCCCCAACCTCTATTGCTCCAGCCTAAATAATAGTTGTGGTATCCCCTGCGGTGCAACCTCTCAGTGCAACTGAACTGGGGGACACACCCCTAAATCCACCTTTGCTGCCTCCCCTTAATGTCTATCAAGACAGGCCCTGTTTACAAGTGTGAGTGATGTCACATTGCTTGCTTCTGAATGGCACAGCTGACCAGGCGATGCTAACTACTTGTACCCCACCCCCAAAATGCTAACTTCAATTTTCAAAAACAGATGTCTAAATTTCAATTCCACGTATACGTAATTAAACAATCTTGGATTATCTTTCTCGAATACAAAAGAAAATGTTTTAGCACACAAATCACTTTTAATCATCTTGTTAATTATGGTGTTAAAATTCAAGGCTCTTAAAAGTTTCAATTTCAGACACACCAGAATTGCAATTTGCATGCCTTTTTCTTTGGAAATTTGGTCACCAATTCCTTCAAGCCAAGTGCTGATGCTCTGGCATGTTCAATTGATATTGTTTAGGGTTGCCATACATCTAGAATTTCCGGGACATAGCCGGTATTCAGCCCTCCTAAACAGCATCTGGGTGGATATATGGCATGTCCGAAGTGCAGATTTTGTGTCCGGATTGCTTCACTTTTTGAAATATGGCAACCCTAATATATTTGCCAAGCCAGCAAGTCTCTTTTACTACACAGTTGAGCATATGTAAGTTTCTATAAGTTTGAGTTCTGAGAAACTGTATTCAATACTTGTCACTGACACTGGAAGTGTGAGAAAGATCCTTAGAGGAACAGAAACATTAGGCAAATTATACATGAGTTTTTGTTGAACCGTAAGCTCACAACCTACATGCATTTAGCTTGTGTGCATTCAGCTTTCCGTGCTTGGGGGGAAAGTTAAAAAAGAAGAAGAAGTAAAAAGGGGGCATTGGAGGGCATCAAGGGGGAAAGACTTTGGCAATCCCATCCACCATTGCACCCAATCTGTTTTGACAATACATGATTTTGATCCCCAGAACGTTAACCCCTGCATAAGTTGCAGGGTTCCTGTAGCATGAGGAGAAATTTTCCTTGTGGTAGCAGAGACTATGGCAGTCTTCAAGCTATTGCTGTAACTTCAAAGCACAGATGTTCAGCATCAATATCCTATTTCCCACTGTACATCAATGGTTTTCCTAAATTCTTGCAGGCCTTAAGTACTGTATATATTCAGTAGATTTGTTGTTGTTGATACTCTATATATCATGCAGGAGCCAAATTACATTGTAGCTGTTGGACTCTCTCTTGAACAGATTGTATGGCCCATGACTAAGACAACATCATAGAAATTTATATTGAATTGTGGCTTTGGAGCTTGTGATGCCTCTTCTTGGGCCTCATTCTCAAACTGCTGTTTCTTTCTCTGTTTTCTAACTTGTTCTGTCCCAAAGTCTGGTAGAATTTCGAGCTCCTTTGCAGTAAGGTAAAGGTAAAGGTACCCCTGCCCGTACGGGCCAGTCTTGACAGACTCTGGGGTTGTGCGCCCATCTCACTCAAGAGGCCGGGGGCCAGCGCTGTCCGGAGACACTTCCGGGTCACGTGGCCAGCATGACAAAGCTGCATCTGGCGAGCCAGCACAGCACACGGAACGCCGTTTACCTTCCCGCTGGTAAGCGGTCCCTATTTATCTACTTGCACCCGGGGGTGCTTTTGAACTGCTAGGTTGGCAGGCGCTGGGACCGAGCAGCGGGAGCACACCCCACCGCGGGGATTCGAACCGCCGACCTTTCGATCGGCAAGCCCTAGGCGCTGAGGCTTTTACCCACAGCGCCACCCACGTCCCTTTGCAGTAGCATCTATCAAAACCCTCAACACACCTGCAGCCCACAAGGTCACTTCCAATTGGTCACTTCCAATTGGCTTGTAGCTGAATATAAATCAGTTTCCTTATTCTGTAGTAGCTTGCTTGTAAGATTGACTTCCAAAGGGAGGTTGTACCATATAACAAGGGATACCACAAACTTGAACTTACAAATTTCATCAGCAAAGGGCCTTAGCTTCAGTTTGGGATGTCTTCCCAGCTAAACCTTTTAGGCTTGTGTCATCAAAGACCTTTATTAAAGCATCACATACCAAAATGGTATCTCCGTGGTTTCAAAGCATTAATATAACATATAATAATAAAAGTAAAATATTATTGGAAATTTATAAGATACTGTAAAAGAAAAACTAATCTGTATAAAACTGTGCTCCTCAAAGGTCTGCATCCTAGGCTGCTGCCCAGTTGGCCTAATGAGAGCAGTGGCCCTGGGGGAGAGGAGAAGAAGCAGAAGCAGTAGCAGCTTTTGTTCTAAACAAACATGTTATCCTTTCCATTCTATTGCAACTTATCTATTTTTTAAAAAAAACCTGAAATTATACCTGTTGTAATAATCTTATGTAAACCACTTTGTGAGGTCCACCTGAAAAGTGGTCTATAAATGCTGTGGATATAAAAATACTGCAACAGCATCTGAGGTAGTGTAGTAGGATGCAGAGATGACTGGGTCTGTACAGGTTTCAGCTTGCACCCCGCTCAGCACCACAGCGCCACAGTCGCAGCCAGACAAAGCAGCCTCAGCCCAGCGCCCGCCATCGCGACCAGTGAGACGCAACAAGGAAAAGCCCCTCTTTTCGGTCGATGTGGATCATC